AGGGTCCCAAATATAATCTGTTTGTTCTGCTAATATAGTTGAATATTATGAGTAAAATAATCAGTTATGAATCATGTTAATTTTTTTGTAGATTGTGTTTAGCGTTTTCTGTTATATCATTACTAGTTTGATTTTTACGGATTGCCTTTAATAATTTTGAAAAAATGTTGATTTCTTGTCTTACAATTGTGTGTTGAGAAGTTTGACTTGGTTAATCGCCTTTTGGTTCTTTCAACTCTAGTATAGAGAAATAGCTATAAATAAAAGAAAAAAATCGTTTGTGAGTAACGAGTTTGCTCTGTGTGAGTTTCGATGTTGTATATTTTTTATGTATTCTGTAAAAACTTTTGAGAATTCAATATCTATGTCATCTGTTTGAACTAGATGTTTTTTATGAAACGGGTTTATTGTGTATTTTCCATAATGTGATAAATTATTACATAGGCCTTTAAGATAGCGGTCAAAGAGTAGTCGTTTCATTACTACTTGAGGAAACTGGCTTGTACATGGGCTATCTCCTTTTTCGAATACACTTACGATTAAATTCTGGCAAAATTGTACCTGTCCTCTGGAGTTTTCTTCGAGGTTTTCTTCATTTCGAATCATTTCTGTGTCTTATTACTGTTAACGAGTAATTTTCAATATGTCTTATTGGTTGATTCCAATTATACAGACGTATTGCATTGTTTTTGTAGGACTTTTTTATTCTGCATTTTCCTTTTATCGATGCTGGTGACGTGGTTTCTGAGTCAGAAAAATATATATGACCGTAGTTTTGATGATTTTTATTAATTGAGTCTTTTAGATTGTGAAGTTCTTGTATTGAGCTTGTTTCTGATTCTGAGACTGCGTTTCTTCGTTTTGTAAATCGTTTTCTAGTAATTTGTTTTAGTTTGTTTATAGTTTTCTTTCTTAAGGTTTGTCTTTTTGTTCTTACATATCCTACTGTTTGTCTATGTGGTGTGGTTGCGAGGTTGTATCTTTCGTCATTGATTATACACTTGTGTAATACAATTGTTTGTTTGTTTCCTAAATTGTCTCTTGGCATAAGGTTTAGGATGATGGATGCAAATTGGGATTAGTGATTTCTAGTTTCTTAAACTGTTAGTTCTACTGATTTGTTGTGGTTAGCTTAACTTGCGGCATAAAAAGTCGGATTGGAGAGAAAAGCATATATCGATTCGTATGAATGATTTTTACTTTCTCATGAACAATTCTAAGTTTAGATAGAATTACTTAATCTTACTTAGGGGTTGTGATTTGTGATCAAGAGTTGGAGAATAAAAAAATCAAAATCCACATGGTTCAGGTATAATTAGAACACAAGTAGTTCATTAGATACTATTTTATGATTTACCAAAATTAAGTGTTTTTTAGCCTTGGTCGTTTAAGAGGGGGGAATCAAGTGAAAAATGAGTAACCGAAGTTTTTCACTGTTTATCTTAATTAGAATGGTTAGTTCTATGAAAAATTTCTATTAATTCTGGGTCGTCAAAAAGGGTTGGATTGTGAATCGACGTTTGAGGTCGTTAGACACTAATTAAATTTGGGAGGGGGAGAACAAAATAGTCCAATCTGATCCAAAGATAATCCTTGATGATCTGTTATTTCAGTGAAAATAATTTAAGTGAAAACAAGGATAGGCCTTGATAATTTTTAAATAAAGGTTTATATTAAGAAAGGGTTAAGGTTTTAGTTTTGATGATGTTAGTTTTTTGAAATTTGCTGTTATGTTTTAGTTGATGAAGCTGGGATGAAAAGATGATTTATTTAAGTTAATAAAACTAATAATTATGCTTTATACAAACTGATTTTTGTATTTTTTATTCGATAAATATTTTTATTCATGATGTTTTAAATTACTGCAGTTTTTTGAGGGCAACGACTAGTGTGTTTTTTATCTGTCGTTGTTGTATAATTTCTTAGTTTAGCGCCATGAATGTTTTTGAAGATTTTTCTTCAAAATTTTATGTCAGAAAATGAAAATTTAAATTTACTGCTGGAAGTATTCTAAATAAAAAAGTTTGTTCTGGTTTTTGTCGTACGATCATGAAATCGATTGGTGGGTTTCTTCCTAATCGTACATCGTTCCTTGTCCGAGGTCTTCTTGCAATACCAGGTTTTCTCATATTGTTTGGAAAATTGGCGGTGATCTGTTGAGTCGTAGAGACATTTCTACTAAATTTTTGTCAAATAACATTTTTGTAATGTTGAAATTGTCTAATTTTAATCTAATGTTTTGGTTATTGTTTCAAATCTAAGTTGGTTAAATTCTTATTCTAGACTTTTGGTCGCACCAGATGAGTTATGACCGTTTGGTTATACTCATAGAGTAGTTGAAGATAAGGTACATAGTCTGCTCGTCACGCTGTCTTATTTTCGGCCGGACAAATTCGTGCAACTTCTAAGTCTAATACCAATCTTAATCTTAGTTTTATATCTCCCAGTCTCAATAGATCTAGTGTATACTGGCTTGCGCGGGTCCGTTTCTTTGGAGAAGGCAACTGTATTCTAATTTTAGCTGAAATTGCTCTGGTGGTGAAACTACAAGTAGTTTCAGCACTTACACATAAGTGGGTTGTTAGTTGACGGAATATGATTGGTTAATTTTTAATATTTTATTGAGATTAAATATCTTAATAATAACCAATAACAAATTTCAGTTTAGATCTGGTTCCATTATTAATAGTTTAATGAATTATAATATAATAGTAAAAATTAATAAAATAATAAGTATAATTATAATATAAAAACAATACAATAGTAATCATAATATTAAAACTATAATTCTATTATAATATTTTAATGAATCCATTTCAACGAATTATAATCAATAGAAGGATCATAATCAATTTATTTCGAAAATTTTTCTGAAAGTTCCAAACACAACGTAGCATATTCAAAACTTGGCTAATTACATTTTACAGAGAAAATATATTTTTAGTTTCTCGTTTTTTTGCTGATTTTTTATTACTCTTCCTGATCCAATTTAGCTGCCTTTGCCATACCTCGTCCTTTGTGTTCCCTGCAGAATACAACCCCCTTCCCACGTATACAAACATCCCACCCCTCCCCCGCTGAAGCTTCCCATCAAGATTACTGCCTCCGCCCCCGTTTAATCCACGACCATCCCCCCTCGTTAAAATGGCTCGAAATGGCTACCAAAGCACCAAAAATGGGTTCAGTTTCCGGCATCGAGAATAGTTGGTAGACAGTTTGGAACAGTAGGTGTCGAGAACAGTATGGTGTCGCACTGATTTTAGCTTAAAACTGCTATTGTAAGCATTCGTTTTATCATAATGCAATTGAAGACACAACTAACGTATTCATGGGAATATTCTCGGGTTGACCAAAAGTCGCTGACTTAGAGCTTTTCTCATAAGAATCGTACAAAATCGTATAAAATTAGAAATTAAGAATGTTACAAAAAAAGAGTTTTTATTATAAAGTTGCAAGATACTTAATTGTCCCAAACTTGCCAAAAAGCCAATCTTTAAACCCCCGTAACCTTACGAAAAAAGATCACAGGTGAAATATCTGTTCAAATTTGAGCTCAGGACACCAATACCTTTTGAATGATCTAAAGAAATTCCGTCAAAAATGGCTAGTTAAAAAGTCGAAATTTGTCTGAAGAAAAAAAAACTCATCCCGAACACAAATATTCCGTGCTCTGAAATGATCATAACCAATATCTGAAAAATTTTACACGCACCAAAATGAAAAAGAAAACTTTTCGAAATTGATTTTCATCTGTTACTACGATATGAAAAATTTTCATTTTTTTCACATTTTTTTCTGAATTTTGAGAAAAAGTTGCTAGAAACTATTTTATAAAAAGATTTAAGATCGCAGAATTTTCCTGCAAATTTTATAAGAAGTTCTAAAAGAGGCAATTATAGCTTCATTTGACAACAGTTTATAAAAAATTTGTAGGGAAAATTACTCAGAGGGTTAGGAATATCAACCTCAAGCAGTTTAAAATTTTTTTGAACTCATACAATCCCTTCTTAATTGTAGACGAACAAGAAAAAATGTTTTCATCGGAAAACAATAAATGCAAACGCACTAAGTAAATGTGAAAAATAAATAGTACTCTTGTAAGATTTTATGGCAGTTTCGCATGGGAATAGTAATATAGCAGAGGTAGTTTGAGTAAGTGAAACACAAAATCGTTAGTTGCTATAAAGAATTGATGTTATGCTTATTGTTCCGACTTTCGATACGAAAGTAACGGAATGATTTGTGCTCGGGGTGGGTTTTTTTTCTTCAGACAAATTTCGACTTTTCAACTAGCCATTTTTTACGGAATTTTAAAAAATCATTCGAAAGGTATTGTTGTCCTGAGCTCAAATTTGAAAAGATATTTCACCTGTGATTATTTTTCGTAAAGTTAAGGGGTTTAAAGAATACCATTTTTGCTTATTTGGGACAATTAACGCGCGATATATTTCGCGCTATTAACGCGTAAGCTGAGACTTAATCCGTGTTAGAAATCGTTCCAAATTGGTTGAAAGAAGCTTATTTACCATAATTGATTTGCTACAAGGAGCGAGATCTATCCTTTTGTACTTTATATGGCGTGTGGGGGGATGATTTTAATTTAAAAAATTTAAATTAAAAATTTTTTTTTCATTTTGTTTAATTCAATTAATTTTTCTATGTTATTACTGTCCTTTAGACCTTAAAGGCAGTCGGAACATTCAGGGCCTTGCTCTAATACGAGCAGTCTTGTCCTAGATTTACCAGCACTTTGAAATACCCCTACTTATTGTCACATTGCCTATCAATCTACAGATGGTGGAATATTTTTGTCTGATAGTCAGTTAGATGTTTTTTTTGATAGCTCAAATGCGTTCAGTTGATTTGCTATCGATAAAGATGTAATTTTAGAAGTTTTTTGTCATTTTGAGCTACCTACAACAACTGCAGTCAAACCTTAAATCTCTAAAAAACGCCTCATCTCCTATGAGAAGGAAAAATATCAGTAGGTATTTTTCCAGACCTGGATGCGTGCAATGGACAAAACTTTTGTGGAAGCAATTCTGAATGTATCAATGTGCCTGGAGCATTTCATTGTCGATGCGATGATGGTTACTTTTCACAGTCTGGATCTAACAGCGATTGCACAGGTTAAATTTTTTTCAATGTCGTGAAAGAAATCTATATATTACTTTGCTTTTTTATAAGACGAGCTTAGGGGGTGTTTTTCACGAGAAAGTTAAGGTCCCCTTGCTGACAATAAGACAGCCTAGAACAATGCATTATCTGATGGAAACTATAAAATTTTTCAAATGTTTCTTCTGACGTGCTTAATTAAACGCCAGTTATTTTTGCGCGAGCACCTTTTATTAGGCAAAAGAACAAAAAGTAATTTTTGTAAATCTTGAAGCTGTTTTCCATTCTCCCCACAACAGTTTAACTTGTCCATTTTCTTAGTTGCTTTGCGTATTATCCCAGCTAAATTCGCGATGCATGAAAAACCAAGCTTTTCACAACAACTGTTTTGTTCGTCATCCAAAATTTCATTGCATTATGACAATAACATAGAAAAAGTTTCAAAATAGACTTTGAAAGAATGAAGGAAAGTGGAAAAAAAAACAATCTTGAAACATCAAATTTAAATCTTGATGCCTCAATACTTTGTGCTCGATTATCTTAAGGAAATTTTTTTGTAGTTGCTTACAATTCTGAAGAACAAAAATACTACAAACCCAAACCTCGGTCTTTTGTTCTAATGCCAAAATTTTTAAAGTACATTCAGACCGATTTAATTATTATGTGGTCTCATCTAGCAGCAGTCTATAAAATTTTTTGAAACAAGTTCTTATTCCGAGAATAATTTTTTCCAAACATCAAACCTACTAGGATTTTTCTTGAAATTAATGCTAATGGTTTGTTGATCGAAAAAAAAAACTTTTCTTAAAACTTTCGAATGTACTCTTCAAAAATTGGAATATGCTGTTTTTTAGAGAAAGCCTCCCCGAGGTTTGTGGGCAGAAAATATGGTAGACTGGGCCCAATTCCAGAAGAAAAAAAATTTTCAAGCTCATCCAAAAATGAAACCAACAGTTATTTAACGTTAATTGGGAAAAAATTGAAAAAAAAGCAGTAACAAAAAGCAGGAATTGATATTGATTTTCTCACTTTTCCACTTGCTCCCTCGTATTTGATTTTCAATTTGAAAAACAACCTTTACCTTCTTATAATGCACTGAAATTTCACAAGGTGAACAAGTTATCTGCTGTGAGCAGAATTGTTCTTCATAACTTCCTAATTTACCTCGTAACATGACCCATTCAGCTAAAATAATACAAAAAAAAATCAATGAAGAAAAAAGTTTTCGAAATCTCCTAAAGAAGGAAAAACATTGCTTTTTTTCCAGACGTGAATGAATGCAATGCACAGGGCGTTTGTGGAAGCAACTCTGAATGCACTAATGTTCCTGGAGCATTCAGTTGTCGATGCACCGATGGTTTTTTTTCACCCTCTGGAACTAACAACGATTGCACAGGTTAATTAATTTATCTACCATTTCTCAAAGAAACGCGAATCATTTGACAGAAATTAAAATTTTACGGTTTCATTTATTGGGATGAAATTTTGTCAGTACTTCTAAAAATGCTACATAAGGAAATTGGGTACTACGCTCAACCAGCCAATAATGTAGCAAAACCATGTATTATATGACACACCAAAAAATGGAATTTAGAATTCTAAAATTTCTGACATGAATAAACAGAAGCTGATATTTCTTTATACGCGGGCGTATTTTTTGCAGTCAAGTACGACAACAGTTCTCAATCGACTCCAATGAATCTTGAAATTGATCTTTTAAGTACGACAACAGTTCTCAATTGACTCCAATGAATCTTGAAATTGATCGTTTTTTTTATTTGGAATTTTTTTTCTGAATTCTTGTGAACGGTTTATAAATTTATCTGACTATGGTCCATAAACTTAGTTTTATTGTAAATTTCAATCAAGCAAACCATCACTTGAATACTCAAGAAACTTGGGTAGCTGCTCAGTTTTGTTTCGGGACAATCTTATTCAGAAACTTTTGCCACTGTAAATATTTAGACTATTTGTTTGTTTTGAGAGGGAATGTTCATATTGTCCGATCTAAAGTATTGTTTTTTTTGCGAAAATAATGGACGTTTTCTAACAATTTTGATTAAAAATATGTAATTCAAATTGGTACAAAAAGATATTTTGTTTACCTTACAGTAACCAAAAACTGCATCACCAGAACGAAGTTTTTTTTATGAATATGGACAACCATATTTTAAGTTTGATATAGATGTGAATGAATGCAGTGGAGCGGAAATTTGTGGAAGCAACTCTCAATGTACGAATGTACCGGGATCATATAACTGTCAGTGCCGGGAAGGCTTTTCTTCAAAAACTGGATCCAACCAAGATTGCACAGGTTCAAAATTGAGTTGATGTTTTCAAAAAATCGTGGCCCACCAACTTTGTGATCGAAAGTTTTTTGTTCGCCGGCATAGAACCAAAATCCTGAAAAAATAAGCAGCGTATGCAAAAATTGTTAATTTCCAGATCATCAGAAAGGATTGTAGTAGTGCATAATTTCTATAAGTGTTTTAAAAGGTAGAAATTTGTTTTTAATTAATATCGAGATTGCGACAATTGCCAAAGTGGACAGCTTTATGATAATTTGTATTGCACACGCGTAAAATATTATGCGCTCCACCTAATATTGAAATATTTCATTCTAAATTTTTTATAGCAAATGAGGGGCGCGGATCTAGAATTTTCTCGAAGGGTCGTATTTTCAAAACCTTTTCAAAAATTTTTTCGATCTTTTTTTAGGCCAACCAAAATGATTTTCGAACTCTCACAAAAATTAAAAGATTGCGTTCCTGCTAAAAATTTGGCGCCGCAGGCTAATTTTTGAAAAAATTGTCTAAAAAAGCGTTTTTCGACATTTTTTGAAAAAAATTTACCAAAAATTTGCGTTTTTTCGGCGCGTAAGAAACAGTGTATATTGGGGCCAAAGTTGCCCTTATCAAAATTTAGGATCCGTCAGCCAGATACCGATATCTCGAAATGGTACAAAAGGGGGACCCTTTGGGTCTGCAGGGGGTCAAATCCTTGAGGTCGGCAGGGGGTCGGCAGTGGGTCGGCAGGGGGTCGGCAGGGGGTCGGCAGGTTGGATGAATCGGAATAATCCGTTTTGTGTTTACTTATAAAATCAAGAATTAATTGCATGAAAAAATAGTATAAACACGTTCAATTGGTTCGGAAGAAAATTAAATCATGTTAATTGGCGAAATTAATGAATGTATTTGACATTATTGAGCCAACGCAAATATGGTGACAAAAAAAAGAATTTTATTTAACATTTGAAGAGAACATTGGTGTGTCTCGAGCAAAAAAAAACATTTCCTTTGTTATTCTTGAAATTATTTCTTTAATTCATGGTACTCACTTAACTCACTCTATGTCAGTTTTTCTTGAAGATATAAGCTTTTCTTTGTTTCCTATAAAATTTAACGTATTCTTGACAACTGATCAAATTATCAAAAATTTTCATAAAAATAAATGCTAACGGATATTTTAGTTAAATTTGCCTGTCAGATGACCACACGAGCAGCTGTATTGTAATTGAACTGATAGTATTCAAATAAAAAGTGAATATCTTGAATAGTTAGATTTTTTGTGTGTTCAGTAAAAAAACTTTTTATTTCGTCTGTGGTTTTAAACTGTATAAAATTTATCAATAAACGTTTTATAATATTTCAGTAAGGCTATTGTTAGATAATATTATTCTATCAGTTGGGAAAAAAAAGGACTGGACTTAGTGATCCATGAAAGTAGCACTTTTCTTGAATTCTAAAAAATAATTATTGATGCTTCATTACTTCAGGGATTGCATTTTAACATATAGTATTAATACTTTCTTTTAAAAAAACTTCGAGCTACTTTTTTTCACAGAAAAATTTTTATCTGAATTTTCTCTAAACAGATCTACTTTGAGTCACCGAATGCTTTGGTTTGTTTCCTTTTCTCGTAGATATTGACGAATGTGACAATGGAATTTGTGGCACTGCGAGTGCAGGACGTTGCATCAATTCTATTGGTGGATACCATTGCCATTGTAGCAAGGGGTATGATTTATCAACCCAGAGTTATGGAGGTGGCTGTGTGGGTAAGAAAATTAATTCAACATATCCCCCGGTGACTTTCATATCATACAATTCAAACAAAAAAAATGCCTCGAACAATTTCATAGGTGGATTCTTCAAAAAATTTCAGTATGGCTATTGATAGTTAATATTATTCCATCTGTTGGGAAAAATACCAGATTTAGCAATCCAGAAAAAGTTATATTTCTTGAATTCTGAAAAATTATCTGCGAGGCTTCAATTTTTACAAAAAAAACTATAATTATATTTCAGGAATTGCATTTTAACATATGGTAGGAATTGCATTTTAACATATGTTTTATCCAAATTTCCCTAAAAAAAGATCTACTTCGAATCGCCGAATACTGTGGGTTGTTGTTCCGATTTTCAAAGAAAGTGAGGAAGATTTATGCTTGGTGTGGTTTTTTATTCAGTCAATTTTCGACTTGTTAAGTAAACGTTTCCGACAAAATTTTTTATTCCATCTGAGAGATATTAGGATCCTTAGCTCAAACTTATCAATTTGATCGTTTTTCGTACAATTGAGGGCGTTTGATAATTGCTAGCTTTGTCCAATTTGGGATAACTAAAGTGCTATATATTGAGTATTATATCTCGCGTAAGAAGCGAATCAAGGCGTTCCAAATTGAACTGAGGCCAGCATTCGAAAGCTATTACCTTAATACGAGACGCGAAATACGCCCTTAGTATATTACAAAGCGTGTGGGGGAAGAAAAGACGAAATGAGGGAAAAGATGTTCCTTTTTTTCAACTATTCTGTCAATTATTCAACGTAAAAACCTTTCAATTGACCTTAAGAGCTGTCGGAACAATCAGGAATTTGCCCTGATATTCGAGCAGTCTTGTTTCCTTTTCTCGTAGATATTGATGAATGTGACAATGGAATATGCGGCAGTGCGAGTGCAGGGAGTTGCACCAATTCTATTGGTGGATATCAATGCCAATGCAGTGAGGGATATTCCTTATCGTCTGAGAGTTATGGAGGTGGCTGCGTAGGTAGGACAATTTGTTCAACAGATATTGGTCATTTTTTCCATCTTTTTATCTGAGGCATTTTTTGTAAAAAAACTGAATCTGATCTGTCCTTACATGAATAAAATAAATTAAAATGAAATTAAGCTGAAAAGTCAAATCATTCAAAACGTGAGTGAAAATTTAAGGGCACCATGAAGTTTCTCATGTTTTTTGTTGTAGCCATAAATTGCTATGAAATATCTGTAATTCTAACCAAAAAATAAATTAGCAAAACAAAACTTTTCGCTGTTGATGAAAAACCAGTTTTAAATTTTGAGCTAGTTGTGAATGTATTTAGTGTAGCAAAGTTTTTGAAAGCAACTCTTATGTACGATTGTATCGGAATAATTTTTTTGTCACCCGTACCCACCAATCTGTTCTGAGACAGGCAAGTTGTTATGACTGGTAATGGCATACCGACTGGTAATGGCATACCGATGTGTATACTAAATCTGGGTTTAACCAGGAACGCAAATCATAAAATGTTATCTTCTGGTTAATGGGTAATTGACTTTATGGGTATTAGAAATTGATCTTTCGTTTTTTTATTTGGAATTTTTTTTTCTGAATTCTTGTGAACGGTTTATAAATTTATCTGACTATGGTCCATAAACTTAGTTTTATTGTAAATTTCAATAAAGCAAACCATCACTTGAATACTCAAGAAACTTGGGTAGCTGATCAGTTTTGTTTCGGGACAATCTTATTCAGAATTTTTTGCCACTGTAAATATTTAGACTATTTGTTTGTTTTGAGAGGGAATGTTCATATTGTCCGATCTAAAGTATTGTTTTTTTTTGCAAAAATAATGGACGTTTTCTAACAATTTTGATTTAAAATATGCAATTCAAATTGGTACAAAAAGATATTTTGTTTACCTTACAGTAACCAAAAACTGCATCAACAGTACGAAGTTTTTTTATTAATATGGACAACCATATTTAACGTTTTATATAGATGTGAATGAATGCAGTGGAGTGGAAATTTGTGGAAGCAACTCTCAATGTACGAATGTACCGGGATCATATAACTGTCAGTGCCGGGAAGGCTTTTCTTCAAAAACGGGATCCAACCAAGATTGCACAGGTTCAAAATTGAGTTAATGTTTTCAAAAAATCGTGGCCCACCAACTTTGTGATCGAAAGTTTTTTGTTCGCCGGCATAGAACTAAAATCCTGAAAGAATACGCAGCGTATGCAAAAATGGTTAATTTAACCACCAGATCATCAGAAAGGATTGTAGTAGTGCATAATTTCTATAAGTGTTTTAAAAGGTAGAAATTTGTTTTTAATTATTATCGAGATTGCGACAATTGCCAAAGTGGACAGCTTTATGATAATTTGTATTGCACACGCGTAAAGTATTATGCACTCCACCTAATTTTGAAATATTTCATTCTATTGAAAACTTTTATAGCAAATGAGGGGCGGATCTAGAATTTTCTCGAAGGGTCGTATTTTCAAAACCTTTTCGAAAATTTTGTCGATCTTTTTTTACGCCAACCAAAATGATTTTCGAACTCTCACAAAAATTAAAAGATTCTGTTCCTGCTACAAATTTGGCGCCGCAGGATAATTTTTGAAAAATTTGTCTAAAAAAGCGTTTTTAGGCATTTTTTGAAAAAAAATTACCAAAAAGTTGCGTTTTTTCGGCGCGTAAGAAATAGTGTATATTGGCGCCAAAGTTGCCCTTATCAAAATTTAGGATCCGTCAGCCAGATACCGATATCTCGAAATGGTACAAAAGGGGGACCCTTTGGGTCGGCAGGGGTCAAATCCTTGAGATGAAGGCGTGCCCGCAAACTCCCTCCCTTAAATCCGCCATGATGAAGTTGGATGAATCGGAATAATTCGTTTTGTGTTTACTTATAAAATCAAGAATTAATTGCATGAAAAAATAGTATAAACACGTTCAATTGGTTTGGAAGAAATTTAAATCATGTCAAAAGGCGAAATTAATGAATGTATTTGAGATTATTGAGCCAACGCAAATATGGTGACAAAAAAATTTTTATTTAACATTTGAAGAGAACATTGGTGTATCTCGAGCAAAAAAAACATTTCCTTTGTTTTCTTGAAATTAATTCATTAATTCATGGTACTCACTTAACTCACTCTATGTCTGTTTTTCTTGAAGATATAAGCATTTCTTTGTTTCCTATAAAATTTAACGTATTCTTGACAACTGATCAAAATAACAAAAATTTTCATAAAAATAACCGCTAACGGATATTTTTGTTAAATTTGCCTGTCAGATGACCACACGAGCAGCTGTATTGTAATTGAACTGATAGTATTCAAATAAAAAGTGAATATCTTGAATTTTTTTGTCACCCGTACCCACCAATCTGTTCTGAGACAGGCAAGTTATTATGACTGGTAATGGCATACCGACTGGTAATGGCATACCGATTTGTATACTAAATCTGGGTTTAACCAGGAACGCAAATCATAAAATGTTATCTTCTGGTTAATGGGTAATTGACTTTATGGGTATTAGGAAAACTCTTCGATTTTTAAAATTTCATTGGACTTCTTGGTACTAGATTTTTTGTTGATTGGCACTAAATTGAAAGTCTAAACAAAATAGGAACGTTTAGAAATTGTCAAATACCCACAAGTCATGATAACGAATATCTTCATCTTCAAATTATTTGCTAACTTACAAAGTTTAAACTATTGGTGTAATAGACTTCTGTATCTCTTCTGATCAATTATATGTAACTCTTGTCAATAGTAAATTGATTTGTAGATAAGTCACCAAAAAAATAGGTCTGAGAATCTAAAAAAAACATTTACAACGAATTTAAATTTTTGTAAATGAAAAGCGAAGTTGAGTTTTTTGCTCGTCACCATATCCGTTTTTCAATCACCATTTATAGCAGATTGTAAAGAAATATCAGGGAAGTGAGTTTGTCTTTTTCGGCAGAAACGAAATGATCTGAGCAACAAAAGTTGCCACACTGAACTGTTGTGTGATTATCGATGTTGTATTTAAGTGCCCGCATCCAGTTTCAAGCGAAAATCGATTATATTACAATTTTAGTACCAGTCTTACTAAAATTGAGGAACAATCGATTTCAATCAATTATTAATCGATTATAATCTCTCTCTTTAAAATCAGTCATAATTAATTGTAATATATTATAATCGATTATAATCGATAATTTATTCATCTATTTTTTGATACATTTATAATCGATTATAATTGATTATAATCCATTACATTATTCATATTTCTAGTTCATTAGTTTTGCACAAAAATTCATTATAATCGCTCATAAATGATTATAATCCCTTTTGTTTGTCCACTTTGTCTTCGAACTTGCATCCTAGTAGCTTATATTTTATGCTTGTTGTAGATATTGGTCCCTATGGAAAATGAGAAAAATATTTTTAAGTTATTCCCATTAATTCAAATTTTTAATTTGTGATGCATATTTTAAGCTTTTTTAAACACTAAATTATCAGCAAACTGATTTAGGTTCAAGAGTAATTCGAAAGATTTTTTTTCATCTACCGCGGGAAACTTTCCACTCATTTGAAAGGATCTCTTTGAAACTTTTGTTTCGTGGTAAGACTTTGTGTTCAGATGAACCAAAGTGTTCAAGAGAACTCTCTTTTAGAGATTTTCTTATTGACACAAAAACAAAATCCATAAGATATAATTCGAATACAGTTCTGAATTGACAAAATCGTGGCAAAATAAGATTTTATAATCGATTATAATCGATTATAATTGATTTTGTGGTTTTTTTTGTAAGAACTTTAATTAATATTAACCGCTTATAAGCGATTATAATCTCTTGGAAAGTATCACGATTATAGTCAATCATAAATCCTTTAAACACTTAATTTTGGTAATTATAATCAGTTATAATTGTCAAAAAAAACATCATAATATTCCGATTATTAATAATCGATTATTTACGCCTAGACTTGGATGCGGGAATATCGCCAATTAAGTCTTGATGCATTCCTTAAAACTGATCATTTTAACATAATAAAAATAAATGCATACTAATATTTCAGTTAACTTCGGCTGTCAAGTTGACCAAAATATCAGTGCAAGTGTTATTGATATGGTAGAATTCAAAAACCAAATCTTGATTTTAGACTTTTCGAATGTCTTTTAGAATCTCTTTTAGAATGTTCAAAAATATAGCATGTAGTTCTTCAGCAGGGGCACAACAACGGTTCGCCGTGATAAGCTGTACAGCTCGTATGTTGGTCTTTTCCTTCGTGGATAAATAGTTTTAACTAAATGTCTCAAAACCTTTCGAAAAAATTGTTTTAAAAAAGTCAGTTGGAGGCTTTCGTTTTTTTTATAATGATTTTTTTAAATTTTGTTTTTCATTTTACTTTTTATTTCATGTTGTCCGCCAAGTTAAGTTATTGCTTTCAAATGCGTGTTTCATGTTATTTGAAAGGAGCCCTTTCGCCATGCGCCTCTCGACTAGAAAAATGTGCGGCCAATGAACGCACGTTTTGTGTGAAAGGAAATTTAGGAAAGCTAATCGGAAAAATATCAATTTGAGGGGCAAGACACGGAACTATTTTTCATCTCAGGGCAAAAGAAAATAGAGCAAAAACAATTTTGTATTTTTTCTCGACAAATGGTATCAGGAGAAATTAGAAGTGCTCCTCAAATGTTTTTTCGTTTTTTTTTTAAAAAACGTTGATTGATCTTAACCTCATCGATTGTGGATTTTCCGAACAATTCAAATTGAGTAAAATTTAGTCAAAAGAAAAGGCGAGATGAAAATTGATTTCATTTGTTTCGCAAATTCAATCAAAGATAATTGGCTGTTTTGTTTCAGATATCGACGAATGTCGAGAAGTTCCGCCCTCCACGGTATGTAATCGACGATTGTCTATAAGTTGCACTAACACGGAAGGAAGCTTCACCTGTACATGTGATGTTTGTCGCTCTAGGGGTTGTTTCCCCGTAGCAAACTGCAAAAACTTCTGAAAAAGAATCTATAAACTGCTTCTCAAGGCTCGAAGTTGAAACAATTAGCTTAGAGTTTTAAAGTTTTCAACTTACTCAATTCTGATATAACCTTCCTCATGTCATGAAAAATAAAATTCTGGTTTAAATTGAATGAAATAATTAATCCATTGTGAGTGCCGGTTGAAATAGAGAAAGTTCAATAAAAGTTTCAGTTGTAGTACTCGTTGGAAAAAATCAAAGGATGATTCGCCACGCATAAATAATTCGCGTACCGCTTTCAGGATTATGGATCAAATCAACAAAACGCGCAAAAACTAGTCCAGAGCACGGCCAAACTGACCGTTTTCAATCTCCCAAAACTTTGCAAAAATGATCGGAGGTAATGTTTTGACTTCAGACAACTTGAAACAAATTTGATTCCAGGGAGTTGATAACTTAAATGAGGCTCGAAACCTTCATGTTAAAAACCGTTAATTCGATTGCCAAAAATAGCTGAACAAAAAACCACACCAAGCATAATTATTCCGTTTTCTTCGAACATCGGTACAAAAAACGGTAAGATAATCATCTCACATCCCAGTTTGACCTTCATACACAAAAAATGCTGGCCATAAAACTCCACACCAGAAGAATGCTGCTCTTAACGTTCATTTCGTGGTGTGTATGAAAAAAAATTATCTTATTTTTTCCCCTCTATCAAAACCACAACAAACAATTTTATACAAGTCGTACAGTGTTAATCAGTTATATTTGTTTCAACTTAATTTTTGGTACAAGTGCTACATCCTGGACGGCTGCTAGAAGAATCTCACCTTCAACCGCAAAAACATCAGTGGTCAACTAGTGAAAGATCTGATGATAGTGACGATAACGCTACCGTTAAAGTTCGGACACAACCGTTAGTAACAATTTGATAAACCCGATGACTGTGTTTTCAAGATCGTCAACAGCCAATGTGGAATTTTCCTTAATGTGGTATGAGAAGAATTCACCAATACACAGTGTGTTGTTTGAGACCATCCGGATACTGATGATGACTACTCTGACGATGTTTTGCAGCTGAAACCACGCAACAACATCGTTCGCTTGAACAGTTGATAGAAGTTAACAAACTCTAGACTCCGGTCTGATTCGCGAAGCAGAAACATCCCAGGATTATAAACATTGCGTGAATATTGCCGATCTGGCGGCCAAAACTCTTTCAATCATTCGTTCTTTGATACTTAAAAAGTTATAGAAGCTGCAGAAAAACAAAATTCAAATAATCGGGCGAACCATTGAAGACAAAAAAACTTTAAAAGTGAAGTGTATTTGTTGATTTAATACGAAAACTGCTTGTAAATAAAATAATACTAGCCGTCATTTTGTGACTTGATTGTAATTTATTCAGATCTGGACCACAGTTTTTCGCTGGACTAATCGATAACATTTACGCAAAAGCTTTTCACGCAAATAGTTTTGTATGTAGCAGCGCGTAAAAAGAAATAGAATTAATTTTATAAGAAAAAATTTAGCAAACGAAACATAGCAAAGTGAAACACACTATACCAAACTTTTTATGTAGAAACTTTTACAATCACGTGAATAGCCGGACGATTCGTTGGTGGTCTTTCCCACTGGTTGAATGATCTTTTTCGTTAGATTTATGAGAAAAGTCAGTTTATCAAAAGCCCTCAAGTCTTCTGCTCAAAAGCGTGTATGTCATCAATCAGCCGCATAGAAGAATTTTTTGATATGTGTTTTTTTGTTTTTACTACGTTGAAAAATCATTGAAACTTACTCGATTATTTTACCAGCACTGACCGCGTATTCATCGCATCCAAATCAAAAATTAAAAACTGCAGAAAAAGTTCGATTCTAGAGTTTTTGCAAAATTAATTCAGACACCGTGAAAACAATGAGAACAATCATGGTCTCTGGTTTTGTTCACAAATGAAAACAACAAATCTAGAAACGCGTGCCGTAACAATTGAATTAACGTTTGTTCGATTTCGATATCTACACAGTTTTGGTATCTATTTTTTCAACGTGAAAAAATTAATGCCATTTTCAAAATTGTATCGCTGATATTTTGCTGAAGCAATAAATTAGTGTTTTAAAGTTTGAAATTTGACTTTTAAAGACGACTCGTTGATCATTTTGATGTTTCATTTCTAAAAACGAGGTTTTCAAATTGTAAATATGCTATAAATCAAGTCACACAACTTTGAATCTGAACCACAAAGTATAGAAACCACAAACATTATAGCTACACTTTACTCGAAAGCACGCGCTACAACACTAACAGGATATAAATTCCGAGCGACATTTTCCGAAAAGAAAGTACATTGCTCACAAGTCTCAAACGGAAATAAAAATAGATTAGATCATGAATCTTTCTACCAGAGCAATACCGAAAGACTTTTACATCTCAACCCTGTTTATTGTAAAAATGGTAAAAACTTCTCAGATTAAAAATCACATCAAACAAAGGTATAAATTAAAAAATTGGTAAACTTTCAAGTTTTTCCAGACTCCACACATCAAGCCGAACTTGAAAGATACCAAGGCCAGACTAGATATTAGACTAGACGATAAATTCCCATTCCAAGGCGCACACTGGAGATTAAATTACGATATTCATGATAAAAATTGGATACCACATTGGAATAAACAATCCCTCAAAATGTAAAGCAGATACAAAAAAAATGTATCAAGAAATGAGGTTTTTTGATTGAAAAAAAACAACTTGAAATAGTACAATTGACACGAGATCTAAAAGATAACTCTAAAATTTATCAAGGAATCAGTTTCCCTCGCAAAAATGACCAGGGATATTGCGATCCTACTACAAGAACACAAGCAACAGTTGTCTGGTTTCCTGAAGACACATGTACCGAATTTCAAGTAGCAGAAGTCCACGCTAGAATGTTATAATTCCATCAAAAACATTTTGTTCAATCCAGTCCTTACGAAAACGTAAACCCTGGAAAAATTACGCATATTAATTCAAAATTTAGAAACATTCACAATATAGAAAACAAATTAACACGTTTCCAAACGTACCGAGTATCAGAACTTGCATGTAAGTACAATAAACCACTATATTAAACACAATATTCAGAAACTCTTGTTGAGTATGAACAAGGTTTCGACACAAATACAGGAAAAATCATAAGAAATCCACACGCAACACATCATGCAACAAATGACGAAAACTCATACATCCCAGTAAACCTCCTCAAGAACACAGGAATTATTGGTGGAAAAATAAAACCACAAGACAAAGATGTAGTAAACGCCTACAAGAACTATCACTCATAAACAACACCTATTTTGGCGCAATTCATTATGACATACACCGAGATTTCAAAATAGATTAAGCAATAAGTAGAATTTTTTGAGAAAATCCTTATCAGAATTAGAAACACCACATCAATTAAGCGAACTTGAAAGAACGCAAATTTTACAATCACTTGCACTAGCAGTTCTAAAAATACCCTATGCAGAATATATATTATCCGGAAAAAGATAAAATTCACTTGACTATGAAGGAAACATCCTGTTGTTCTACACTTGTACTAAAAAAGTATCACCTATTTATGTTTTTGAAGATAAAAGATGCTACAAAAGAATCCGCATATTCTATAAAAGTGAAGAACATTTTGTCGACACACTTTCACGAAAAACTATCTAAGAGATATTAGGATCCTTAGCTCAAACTTATCAATTTGATCGTTTTTCGTACAGTTGAGGGCGTTTGATAATTGCTAGCTTTGTCCAATTTGGGATAACTAAAGTGCTATATATTGAGTATTATATCTCGCGTAAGAAGCGAATCAAGGCGTTCCAAATTGAACTGAGGCCAGCATTCGAAAGCTATTACCTTAATACGAGACGCGAAATACGCCCTTAGTATATTACAAAGTGTGTGGGGGAAGAAAAGACGAAATGATGAAAAAGATGTTCCTTTTTCTCAACTATTCTGTCAATTACTCAACGTAAATCCTTTCAATTGACCTTAAGAGCTCTCGGAACAATCAGGAATTTGCCCTGATATTCGAGCAGTCGTGTTTCCTTTTCTCGTAGATATTGATGAATGTGACAATGGAATATGCGGCAGTGCGAGTGCAGGGAGTTGCACCAATTCTATTGGTGGATATCAATGCCAATGCAGTGAGAGAAATTCCTTATCGTCTGAGAGTTATGGAGGTGGCTGCGTAGGTAGGACAATTTGTTCAACAGATATTGGTCATTTTTTCCATCTTTTTATCTGAGGCATTTTTTGAAAAAAAATTGAATCTGATCTGTCCTTACATGAATAAAATAAATTAAAATGAAATTAAGCTGAAAAGTCAAATCATTCAAAACGTGAGTGAAAATTTAAGGGCACCATGAAGTTTCTCATGTTTTTTGTTGTAGCCATAAATTGCTATGAAATATCTGTAATTCTAACCAAAAAATAAATTAGCAAAACGCAACTTTTCGCTGTTGATGAAAAACCAGTTTTAAATTTTGAGCTAGTTGTGAATGTATTTAGTGTAGCAAAGTTTTTGAAAGCAACTCTTATGTACGATTGTATCGGAATAATTTTTTTGTCACCCGTACCCACCAATCTGTTCTGAGACAGGCAAGTTGTTATGACTGGTAATGGCATACCGACTGGTAATGGCATACCGATGTGTATACTAAATCTGGGTTTAACCAGAAACGCAAATCATAAAATGTTATCTTCTGGTTAATGGGTAATTGACTTTATGGGTATTAGGAAAACTCTTCGATTTTTAAAATTTCATTGGACTTCTTGGTACTAGATTTTTTGTTGATTGGCACTAAATTGAAAGTCTATACAAAATAGGAACGTTTAGAAATTGTCAAATACCCACAAGTCGTGATAACGAATATCTTCATCTTCAAATTATTTGCTTTCTTACAAAGTTTAAACTATTGGTGTAATAGACTTCTGTATCTCTTCTGATCAATTATATGTAACTCTTGTCAATAGTAAATTGACTTGTAGATAATTCACCAAAAAATAGGTCTGAGAATCTAAAAAAAATAATTACAACGAAAAAACGATAAGTTTTGTCAACAAAATCGTGGCAAAATAAGATTTTATAATCGATTATAATCGATTATAATTGATTTTGTGGT